GCAAAGTAAGCGAAGCAATAAGATTCTGGTGGCGGCACGCACTTCTCAAACACTCTCCGCTGCCGCAGCGTCTGACGGAACGTGATGCGAACGTTCACGTTCCCAGCGCGCAAAGATAACCCACGATGCATTACACTCACCTCCGCTCTCGGAAAGGAGATCTCAACGGACCGTTATTTCTCACCCCCGATCACCTCCCAATGTCATCCAACGGGTTCAGAGCCCAACTAAAGTCCGTACTGCTGCTTTGTAACCTGTCTCCCCATCTCTACGCAGCTCACTCCTTCCGGATAGGCGCCGCCAGCAGCCGAGTATCCGCAAGTATTGATCACAGTAGATAGCGGTCACAGCACATAGCGATAGCGGTCACAGCATATAGCGATAGCGGTCACAGCATATAGCGATAGCGGTCACAGCATATAGCGATAGCGGTCACAGCATATAGCGATAGCGGTCACAGCATATAGCGATAGCGGTCACAGCATATAGCGATAGCGGTCACAGCATATAGCGATAGCGGTCACAGCATATAGCAAAAAATGGTTAGCAGCATTGCGCTGGCGGTCACAGCATAGTGATAGCGGTCACAGCATATAGCGATAGCGGTCACAGCATATAGCGATAGCGGTCACAGCATATAGCGATAGCGGTCACAGCATAGCGATAGCGGTCACAGCTTAGCGATAGCGGTCACAGAATAGAGCAGTCACGACGTCTGTCCCCTCCAAACCAGGCTTCGAAAACTCCATCAACACGCAGCCTTTTTGGGGATTGTGCGCGCTCCATCGCAGGAGCCCCTCCGATCTGAAGGCCGCACCGGGACCTAGGGCGCCAAACCTCCTCCCAATAAAATACTCAAAACTTCCTGTTTTCTCGTCTCTCCAAATTGAAATGCAGCCAGTGAAAGTTCAATTTGGTAGACGTTAACCAAATTTACCCCCTCCAGGCCGGCTCGCATCCCCAGCCTATCGCTCAGCAGACGCCCCCTTCCAATCATCTGTACCGACTACGCCAGCCGCATAAAAACGGAAAAACTACCACTCTCTGCCTCCTGAAGCCTCGCAACCACCGCCTCCCCTCCTCCTCCTCTTCACCCTGCCTCCAATCTGCCTCCAATCTGCCTCCAATCTGCCTCCAATCTGCTTCCTGCTGCCAAATGCCGCCACCAGTGCCTAGGTCCCGGGGGATTGTGCGCGCTCCAGCGCAGGAGCCTTTCCGATCTGAAGGCCGCACCGGGGCCTAGGGCGCCAAACCTCCTCCCAATAAAATACTCAAAACTTCCTGTTTTCTCGTCTCTCCAAATTGAAATGTTAAAGTCCTTTGTCTTATTATGGGCCAGTCCCTATGGTAAGTACCTGGTACTTGCTGGTAAGTACCTGGTACTTGCTGGTAAGTACCTGGTACTTGCTGGTAAGTACCTGGTACTTGCTGGTAAGTACCTGGTACTTGCTGGTAAGTACCAGGTACTTGCTGGTAAGTACCTGGTACTTGCTGGTAAGTACCTGGTACTTGCTGGTAAGTACCTGGTACTTGCTGGTAAGTACCTGGTACTTGCTGGTAAGTACCTGGTACTTGCTGGTAAGTACCTGGTACTTGCTGGTAAGTACCTGGTACTTGCTGGTAAGTACCTGGTACTTGCTGGTAAGTACATGGTATACTATATTACTGGTATCACTAGTACTTATGGGTAAGTCCTTTGTCTTATTATGGGCCAGTTCCTATGGTAAGTACCTGGTACTTACTGTATAATTACTGGTGTTATCACTGGTACTTATGTTAAAGTCCTTTGTCTTATTATGGGCCAGTCCCTATGGTAAGTACCTGGTACTTGCTGTTAAGTACCTGGTACTTGCTGGTAAGTACCTGGTACTTGCTGGTAAGTACCTGGTACTTGCTGGTAAGTACCTGGTACTTGCTGGTAAGTACCTGGTACTTGCTGGTAAGTACCAGGTACTTGCTGGTAAGTACCTGGTACTTGCTGGTAAGTACCTGGTACTTGCTGGTAAGTACCTGGTACTTGCTGGTAAGTACCTGGTACTTGCTGGTAAGTACCTGGTACTTGCTGGTAAGTACCTGGTACTTGCTGGTAAGTACATGGTACTTGCTGGTAAGTACATGGTACTTGCTGGTAAGTACATGGTATACTATATAATTACTGGTATCACTAGTACTTATGGGTAAGTCCTTTGTCTTATTATGGGCCAGTTCCTATGGTAAGTACCTGGTACTTACTATATAATTACTGGTGTTATCACTGGTACTTATGTTAAAGTCCTTTGTCTTATTATGGGCCAGTCCCTATGGTAAGTACCTGGTACTTGCTGTTAAGTACCTGGTACTTGCTGTTAAGTACCTGGTACTTGCTGGTAAGTACCTGGTACTTGCTGGTAAGTACCTGGTACTTGCTGGTAAGTACCTGGTACTTGCTGGTAAGTACCTGGTACTTGCTGGTAAGTACATGGTATACTATATAATTACTGGTATCACTAGTACTTATGGGTAAGTCCTTTGTCTTATTATGGGCCAGTTCCTATGGTAAGTACCTGGTACTTACTGTATAATTACTGGTGTTATCACTGGTACTTATGTTAAAGTCCTTTGTCTTAATGGGCCAGTCCTTTGTCTTATTATGGGCCAGTCCCTATGGTAAAGTAAGTACCTGGTACTTGCTGTTAAGTACCTGGTAAGTACCTGGTACTTGCTGGTAAGTGCTGTTAAGTACCTGGGTACTTGCTGTACCTGGTACTTGCTGGTAAGTACCTGGTACTTGCTGTAAGTACCTGGTACTTGCTGGTAAGTACCTGGTACTTGCTGTACTTGCTGGTAAGTACCTGGTACTTGCTGGTAAGTACCTGGTACTTGCTGGTAAGTACCTGGTACTTGCTGGTAAGTACCTGGTACTTTGCTGGTAAGTACCTGGTACTTTGCTGGTAAGTACCTGGTACTTGGCTGGTAAGTACCTGGTAATGTGTAATTCTTGTTACTTGGGTTGGGTACCTAGTTCTTGCAGTGTTTCCCTTGTCCTTGAAACTTGTTTTGAAATATGCATTAAATGTATTTATACTGTCCTTTCTGTGCTACTTATTCCATATTAATAAAGACGTTTGTTTTACATAATGTTGTTTTATGTTTTATAGTCAAACAATCCTACAAATGACCTCTGTATGTATGTATGTAGAAGTACCACATTTACTACATAGGAATAATACTGTAGTGTCCTTGAATTACTAAGTTACAGCTGTATCTAGAATTATCACAATAAGTACCTAGAAGTACCACTGTAAGTACCACAATAAGTACCTAGAAGTACCACTGTAAGTACCTAGAAGTACCTCTGTAAGTACCACAATAAGTACCTAGAAGTACCACTGTAAGTACCACTGTAAGTACCTAGAAGTACCACTGTAAGTACCACTGTAAGTACCTAGAAGTACCACTGTAAGTACCACTGTAAGTACCACCGTAAGTACCACTGTAAGTACCACTGTAAGTACCACTGTAAGTACCACTGTAAGTACCACTCTAAGTACCACTCTAAGTACCACTCTAAGTACCACCGTAAGTACCACCGTAAGTACCACCGTAAGTACCACCGTAAGTACCACCGTAAGTACCACCGTAAGTACCACTGTAAGTACCTAGAAGTACCACTGTAAGTACCTAGAAGTACCACTGTAAGTACCATGGACTTACCGGCCCGTAATGTAAAGTGTTACCGAGCCTGTTGCTTCGATGACTCCTCTGAGCACCATAGTGTTATGCAGAGGGTGTCTGGAGTTACCCAGGATGCCCTGCATTAGAGCCCTTATCCTTCTCTCCAACACAGCTCCCACAGAGTCCACACTTCTCCCCATCACAGAGACGCACTTCTTAATCAGCCTGTCAATCCGGTTACAGTCTCTCAAGGTCAGACTGCCGCCCCAACAAGCAACCCCGAAGAACACAGCACTAGCTACCACAGACTGGTAAAAGATGTGCAACATTTGACTGCTCACATCAAAGGACCTCAGTCTACTCAGAAAGAAAAGTCCGCTCTGATCTTTTTTGCAGATGGCATTGGCCTGAGCTGACCAGTCCAGTCTGTGGTCCAGGTGGACTCCCAGATATTTATAGGATTGAACCACTTCAATGTCCTGTCCATTTACTGTGACCGGTCGATGGGAAGGGCTCCTGTGAAAGTTGATTATCATCTCCTTGGTCTTGGACGCATTGAGGATCAGTCCATTTCTCTCACTCCAGTCTGAGAAGGCAGCCACCACCTCCCTGTACTCTGCTTCATCCCCCCTTCACACATGCCACAACAGCGGTATCGTCCGAGTATTTTTGTACATGGCATGTAGCAGAGTTGTGTGCGAAGTCTGCAGTGTAAATAGTGAAGAGGAAGGGAGCCAGAACAGTACCCTGTGGTGCTCCCGTATTGCTCACAGCAGTCCAGACACGCTCTTCCCTAACCTGACATACTGTGAGGTATGTCCGCCATCTGGACTTCGGCTAGAAACAGCACAACCTCTGTGTATTATAAAGCCTCATTCTGCCCTCTATGGGCGCTCAGAGGAGTAATCGTAGCAACAGGCTCCTATCACTGCGCTGCCCAACAGAACGTTTCAAGAGATCCTTTGTTCTTTCGGCTGTCAGACTGTACGACAAACCTGGATAAGTCTTCTGCCGCTGTACACTTGCATTTCTCCTACGGGGATCAATAAAGGATCTATCTATCTAATAGGATGATCCATAAACATTATGGATGTTTATGTTTACATCCATAATATTTATGTCTACTATTGTATTTTTGGATTTAAATTCATAGTTATATTTGTTAAGGTTGTAAAAGTTTGATACCCCATCTTAAACAGCTACAGTAAGCGTATCGTATCTTCCTCCATGGTATCTGGATTCTAATTCAGGACAAAAATCAAGGCATATTTCACTTCCAACCCAAAATACGGAACGGAAATAATAGTGGCAATACAAAGCTTTCCTGGCTTTAGTTCTTTGTGAGTTTACAATAAAAGATATTTCTGAGAATGTACTGACTTTTCCATAGCTGCCCTGAAAGCCTCCGACGTGGGTGCGGGGGAGTAGACTGGCTCAGGGTCTGTGATAGAGACCTCACTCATTGCACAATCGGTGGTGTGCATGATCAAACTGCAGAGCTGAGGGACTTCAATCTCCACCTAAAGACAAACACACATGAAGAGGGTCAGGCGAAGGGCTCAGATAAGAAGTTTTATCAGGAGGAGACCAGGGCACAGTCACGTACCTTACATGTAACTTTGGGACCATTTTTCAGGTTGGCGGTGCCCACAACACCATTTCTGCTCTCTGTGCTGTAATGGTAGAAATATTTCCTGTTGGTTTTGAATCTGGACACCGCTGTAATCAAAATAATAACACATTATACCCAAGAGCAGGTCAGGAAATATTCAGGATCACAGCAAGATCAAATCTGTTCTAAAATGTTTTATCAATTTAGGCCAGTTATGAATGAAAGAACAGGAATTCAATTACATTACATTTATTTCAGTATAGTCCTAAACTAAAGAGCCGCCATGGAGGATCTTAGATGGTTGTAGACTCGCCAACACCAGATCAGCTAATAAAACTGTTCGAATAGAGGAAAGATGCAGTGTTTACATAATCACACATACGGTCAAATATAGCCTGATGTTTAATCAGAAATTGGAAATTGATGAACAAATCCAATCCACATTGGGATGTCATATTGTGTGGAGCCGGACACAATTTTCAGTGGTTACCTTTTCAATTAATTTGCCAAAACATATTTGGTATTTTCTGTGAAAGTGAAATATAAAAAATAGATATTTGAAGAAGAGAAGGACAAGGGGACAGCATGCATTTTCTTTGCGTTTGTGTAAAGTTTTGTTTTTGTTTTACCCTGAAAGGTGTGTGTGTTTTTATATTTATATATAAACACACACACATCTTTCGCTCTTCGCTGGTGGTTTTCCTTCTCTAAGCTTAGGTCCTCTACCAGAGGCCTGGGAGCTTGAGGGTTCTGCGCATCTTTGCTGTTCCTAGCACTGCACATTTCTGGACCGAGATGTCCGAGGTTGTTCCAGGGATCCGCTGTAACCACTCCTCCAGCTTTGGGGTCACTGCCCCGAGTGCACCGATCACCACGGCACGAGCACTACAATCACCTTTATCATCCAGGTCAGCTCCTGCTCCTCTCTGAGACCTTGGTATTTCTCAATCTTTTTGTGTTATTTTTTCCTGATGTTACCATCGCTTGGAATTGCCACGTCCACCACCACGGCTTTCCACTGCCCTTTGTCTACAACTACGATGTCAGGTTGGTACAATATACTATAAGATTATGGTAAGGGGTATATTATTTTGATGAGTTATGTCTTTGTTAGTTTGAGGCAGTGCAGTGAGCTATTGTGATTGTGTGAAATGTGTCAGGTGACATTGACGTAGAAGAGGAAGGAAAGAGAAGAAAAACGGCTGCGGTAAAGTGGTTGCCCTTTTTTGCTGTTACCTACGGTAAACGTAGAACGGGAAAGCGGGGGGATAAAAATTCCTAAACAAATTTAAGTTTTGCAACTACTTTCACTGCGCACTTGTTCACTCATTCATTCATGAATGATGATTAATTTGTCTAATAAGTCAAAGGAACAGTAGTGAGCGACTCACTAGAGGGTCCGTGAGAGGTGACCGTGTGATCCCTCTACATAAAAGCACCTTCAGTCAGTCTGCCTGGTCCGTTAGAGGTACCAGAGAGTGGAACTCAATACCACAGACTTTTAAACAGCAGAGCACATACAGGGCTTTTACACAACCCCTAAAGGAATGGATGGTAAACACATACACCTGCCCTCATTAACTGATGTACGATGTGAGTCTTGTAAATAGTGTATTACAATACAATACAATTTATTCTTGTATAGCCCTAAATCACAACAGAAGTCATCTCAGAGGACTTAACAAAACCATTGAAATCACCAACACAGATCAGAGATCAACAGTTAAAACACATAAAGAATATAGAACACATGTTGAAAAATGTCCATACATGTTGTAGAATGTTAAAGTTCTTGAATGTGTTAACACTATAATGTTAGTCTTGACTCATGCTGTCTCTGTCTTGTCATTTTGTAATGTTAATGTATTTTAATGGCTTTTTAACATCACGGCCAGGGGACTAAAGATGAAAAATAGCCTCCTTGGGTAACTCTGGCTACGTTTACCGTAAGTACCAGCAAAAAGAGGCAATCTGCTTTTAATGTGCGGACCACTTTACCGCGACGGCGAAATGCTGAGCCACTTTACCTCGGTGAAAAACGCGAGAAATGGATTTTCACCACAGACTCTTCTTGCATTAAGGGTCCCGGGTTTTCTATGGTGTAAGAATGAATGTCTCCCAGCAGATCTGTGCCAAGACGGAGACCAATGTTTTTTTTTCTCGTCATCCCAGGTCTCATATGGGCTTTGAATTTGTTCAGTTCGGTCTCAAATACTTATTTTAAGCTTGGATTTATATCTCATCTGATCTTCTTACATTAAAGTGCTTATATGCAGTGGCCCACTGAGTCTTTTAAAAGTACTCGTCAAAACTATGCTTCAGTATGTTCCGCTCTGCCCTTTTGCCACCCGGCGAGGGGTGCATGCGCACGCGGGTGTAAACAAAGATCCTCCTATTATCTTGACAGTCATCCTTACATCACCACGTAGCTGTGGTCACAAGGTCTCTTGTGCTGGTCCCGGCAAAGACCCCCGAGCGTGGAGGTGGACTCAGGTAGTAAGGGATGATCCGAGGAGCTGTGTTAGCCCCTCCATAGCAAATAGGACGTAGGTGACAAGTAAACCCCACCATGGATTGCCCAGGAAAAAGTAACATAACGTCGCCTGGTATGGCGCAGCCGGGGGCCACACCCTGGAGCCAGGCCTGGGGTTGGGCCAGGCCTTTGGCCATAAGGCCATGAGGGTCTCTTAAACTGGTCCTGGTGGCGACCCCTGAACATGGAGGTGGACTCTGGTAGTAAGGGATACGATCAGGCTGAAGAAGGAGGCAGCTTTCCAGTACCGGGCAGCCAAGTGGGCCGCTGCCCAGGCTGTTGCAGAGGTAAAAACCTCCGAATGGACATCGGCTCTATGTCGTAGGACTGTGTTGGCTGACACGTCTCTGCAACATTGCGTGGTGATTGGGGACAGTGCCAATGGAGGGGCAGACCGGGCTTGTGGTCCCTCTCTTCAAGAAGGGTGACAGGAAGGTGTATTCCAAGTGTTGTGGAATCAACCTCCTCAGCCTCCTCATTAAGATCTACTCCAAGGTGCTGGATAGGAACAGTGTGGTTTTCGTCCCTGCCTGCAGACCACTGGACCAGCTCTATACACTCAGACATACGGATACCTGGGGGATCTTGGGAGTTCGCCCCAACTTGTCCACACGGGTGCTATGTGGATCTGGATCATGTCACCCAGGTCATGAGCTTTGGGTACTGACCAACGAGATCGTACATACTAACAATATCACCAACTTGAAGAGAGCGATGTCCTTTACAATTGAGGCCATAAAACAGATATCCATGAGGACAAGCAGGAGATAGAGCCTTCTGAGGACAAGCAGGAGATGGAGCCTTCAGTAGAAAGTTACATAGTGCAACTTTAACTGGTGTTAAGGGTAGATTTAGATGCATATCTGTCCTACTTTACAGCTCACAGTAGACTTTTGAACTTCAAACTAAACCTGAGCAAAATACTGAAACTCTGTTAAACATATTGTAGCAGAGTCCAGAGACTGTATCTCCATTTTGTTGGTTTAGCAGAGTCAATATTGATCGTTTACAGGTCAAATCAGCAAAAAAGCTTACATGAACAAAAGGTAATTTAGCCAGTTAAGGGTGTATACTTTGAGATGTATAAACTATGCTCGCAATTTATTGTTGCATGGAATTAAGCTAATTGATCTTGCAATATGTAGTAGCTTCAAGTAAAAATCATACATTTTTATGCAAAATTGTACACTACATTGTACATCATTTCCATTAAAGTCTGAATTTCTCTCTTCATACCCGGACTAACTGTATATACAATAAGTTTATGGTAACTCAATCTGCTTGTGACCAAAGCGATATAGACTGTCATACTACCAAAGGGGATTGCATCACATTAATACTGGGAATAAACTGAATTAATTCAACATAAACCAGGACTAAACACTCCAAGTTAGTATAGTATAGTCTTAGTATCACTTACATTGACACGCTGAGCTGGGTTCACTTTCGGTGCCTTGTTCTGGGAAAGGAAGAAAAAAATAATAGTGTTACTTAATGCAAATATACTACTACTACAGTGGTAGTATAAGCTTAAGTAATGAAGCAAACAATCACGTAACGAAACAAAAAACGGAAATTGTACTCAGAATCACAACTAACAGAAGAGGATACATAATTAACCAATTAATTCAGTGACTTCTTGAAAACATCACAATAAACATGGTCCCGCATGAGACACTATATTGTTATACCGTATTGTGTAAACAAAAAAACAAAACAAATAAACAATGTATACATTTAAAATTAAATTAATTCTACAAATTGATAAATTGTTACTTACGGGCCAAGGTAAGCCCACTCAGCAGCAGTAGAACCAGGCTGCTGTACCCCATTGTGGGCTTACAAAATAAAGCAGGTATTATAAAATATATTTCCCTATTTCTCTTCCAGCTTCTCCGATTTGAATTACAACTTGCTCTTGTTCTTTATAAAGCTCAGTTTGGTTTGGTCCAGCCCCAAAACAGAGTCCAGATCAACAGCAGTACAAAGTCCAGTGTGAACAGTATCCATGGCTTTCAGATGGGAAACCCAAGATAACATTGAAGTCACAAAAATAAATATATCAATTTATTAAAGTATTTTACCAAAATCAAGCTAATATATTTTTAGTTGTTGCAATGAATTAATTTATTTTTGTTTATATTGTTTTGTGTTTTTATAGATAGTACAAAATAAAAACATCTAAAAAAAACTAAGTCATTGTTACATGTGTATTTTCAGTCATCTTGTGCCTATTGTGTTAATGTGATGTAATTTTTGATAGAACATTTTATACCATTATAATACATTATTTTTGTATTTCCTATTGTCTGTTCAGCAGTTTATGCCCAATTTTTTCTACAGACAACAAGACAATTATATTATCCCGTCCCCTAAATTGTAGTCATTTGGTGAATTAACACTGCTACTCATCGATTCATCAAAATTCTGCAAAAGGAATGTAAATTGGATTTCATTTCAAGGAGTTTTCATGATAGACATTTGTTTATTATCCATTCCCACTATTTTCTACTTTTATGGCATTTATTACCAATTATCCATCCATCCATCCATTTTCTTCCGCTTTATCCGTTGCCGGGTCGCGGGGGCAGCAGTCTAAGCAGAGACGCCCAGACTTCCCTATCCACACACACCTCCTCCAGCTCGTCCGGGGGGACCCCAAGGCGTTCCCAGGCCAGCTGAGAGACATAGTCTCTCCAGCGTGTCCTGGGTCTTCCCCGGGGCCTCCTCCCGGTGGGACGTGCCCGGAACACCTCCCCAGGAAGGCGTCCAGGAGGCATCCTGAACAGATGCCCGAGCCACCTCAACTGGTTCCTCTCGACGTGGAGAAGCAGCGGCTCTACTCCGAGCTCCTCCCGTGTGACTGAGCTCCTCACCCTATCTCTAAGGGAGCGCCCAGCCACTCTGCGGAGGAAGCTCATTTCGACCGCTTGTATCCGCGATCTCGTTATTTCGGTCATTACCCAAAGCTCATGACCATAGGTGAGGGAGGGAACGAAGATTGACCGGTAAATCGAGAGCTTCGCCTTTCGGCTCAGCTCCCTCTTTACCACAACGGTCCGATACAGAGACCGCATCACTGCGCACGCTGCACCGATCCGCCTGTCAATCTCACGCTCAATTCTTCCCTCACTCGTGAACAAGACCCCGAGATACTTGAATTCCTCCACTTGAGGAAGGACCTCTCCACCCACCTGCAGAGGGCAAGGCACCTTTTTCCGGTCGAGCACCATGGCCTCGGATTTGGAGGTGCTGATTCTCATCCCAGCCGCTTCGCACTCGGCTGCAAACCGTTCCAGTGCATGTTGCAGGTCCTGGTTCGTTGGAGCCAGCAGGACGACATCATCCGCAAAAAGTAGAGATGAAATCCTGTGGTTCCCGAACCGGACCCCCTCCGGCCCCTGGCTGCGCCTAGAAATTCTGTCCATAAATACAGTGAACAGAACCGGTGACAAAGGGCAGCCTTGGCGGAGGCCAACATGCACCGGGAACAGGTCTGACTTACTGCCGGCAATGCGAACACAGCTCTGGCTCCGGTCATACAGGGACCAGACGGCCCTCAGCAGAGGACCCCGGACCCCGTACTTCCGGAGGACCCCCCAAAGGACACCCCGGGGAACACGGTCGAACGCCTTCTCCAAATCCACAAAGCACATGTGGACAGGTTGGGCGAACTCCCATGAACCCTCGAGTATCTGATGGAGAGTATAGAGCTGGTCCAGTGTTCCGCGACCGGGACGAAAACCACACTGCTCCTCCTGAATCCGAGATTCGACCATCGGACGTAGCCTCCTCTCCAGTACCTTGGAGTAGACCTTACCGGGGAGGCTGAGGAGTGTGATCCCACGATAATTGGAACACACCCTCCGGTCCCCCTTCTTGTAGAGAGGGACCACCACCCCGGTCTGCCACTCCATTGGCACCGCCCCCGATCGCCACGCGATGTTGCAGAGACGTGTCAGCCAAGACAGTCCTACAACATCCAGAGACTTTAGATAGTCAGGACGGATCTCATCCACTCCCGGCGCCTTGCCACCAAGGAGGCTGCCAACCACCTTGGTGACCTCGGCCAGGGAGATGGAAGTGTCCGCCCCAACATCCTCAGCCTCTGCCTCCTGAACGGAGGACGTGACGGGGGGATTGAGGAGAACCTCGAAGTATTCCTTCCACCGCCCGACAATATCCTCAGTCGAGGTCAGCAGCCCTCCACCCGCACCATACACGGTGTTGGCAAAGAACTGCTTCCCCCTCCTGAGGCGCCGGACGGTTTGCCAGAACCTCTTCGAGGCCGACCGATAGTCATGCTCCATGGACTCTCCGAACTCCTCCCAGTCCCGGGTTTTTGCCTCTGCAACAGCCCGGGCCGCGGCACGTTTGGCCTGCCGGTACTGGACAGCTGCCTCAGGAGTCCCACGAACCATCATTGCTCAATAGGACTCCTTCTTCAGCCTGACGGCATCCCTTACTGCCGGTGTCCACCACCGGGTTCGGGGATTGCCGCCGGGACCAGCACCAGAGACCTTGCGACCACAGCTACGAGCCGCCGCATTGGCGATAGAGGAAGAGAACATGGTCCACTCGGACTCGATGTCCCCCTCCTCCGCCGGGACCTGGGAGAAGCTCTCCCGGAGGTGTGAGTTGAAAGTCCGTCTGACAGGGGGCTCAGCGAGACGTTCCCAGCAAACCCTCACTATACGCTTGGGTCTGCCAGGTCTGACCGGCTTCTTCCCCTGCCAGCGGATCCCTCTCTTTACCCGAGTGTCCGAGACACGCGGTCGAAGGTCAGATGATACGACAACAAAGTCGATCATCGACCTCCGGCCTAGGGTGTCCTGGTGCCACGTGCACTGGTGGACACCCTTGTGCTCGAACATGGTGTTCGTGATGGACAAGCCGTGACTGGCACAGAAGTCCAACACCGCTGAACACCGCTCGGGTTCAGATCAGGGGGGCCGCTCTTCCCGATCACCCCTCTCCAAGTGTCACTGGCATTTCCCACATGGGCGTTGAAGTCCCCCAGGAGAATAACGGGAATAAGGGTAATAATTACCAATTATTTGACATATATATCATGGTGGAAGCTCGCCAGGTGAACCAATGACCTTTGAAATAATGTACTTCTTCTGGGTTCATGTTTTAGCCAAAAGAGTGAAACCCCGTAGGAGAGGAAAGCATGGCGGTGTGTTGGTGCGTCTCAGGAGATGGGGTGCGTGCACAGCACTCCCCGGGATATTCCTCTCCAACTTTCGCTCACTTGGCAACAAGATGGACGAACTCTCCCTACTGATGACTAAGAACAGAGACTTTTCCTCCTCCTGTGTCCTCTGCTTCACTGAGACCTTGTTAGTATTAGATAGCAATATGGCCTACGTGCAGGCCTCTACAAGGACTCTGATTATTTTGACTATGATGTGCACTGTCTCTGTGTGACACGTACGTCTTTCGATGTGTGACGTGACAATGACTATATAAACTGTGTACTGACTCCATTCTGTCTGAGAGAAGGAAACAATGGAAACCACTGGAACTTGAGAGAAACTTAAATACACTTCCAGAGTTTGGCGCACCACGATCCGTCTCTGTCTGCTTCATCCCTGAAAGATTTGGTGGAAGATGCGCGGCTCAGTGTGCGCCATTCTCTGGATTGTTTTGAGGGGGTTTCCTTTGTTTTCTTTTTCTTGGCGTGGGAGAGATGAGAGTATCGGGGGCCTGGGACTTTTTTTCTCTCTCACTATATTTTTTTGAGTCCTCTTTTTGGACTGACTAAGCGTTTAAAATTGTTTTCCCATGTCCACATTCCGGGGATTTCTGACGTGTGATTGGTCTCTGCCGATGGAAACTAGTTCCCGGTACTAGTGAGCGCTGGTTCATGATCTGGAAACCCCGGTTGGATGTGGAAAAGCTGATATTTGGTAGACCTCTCGGACAGTCCTTGGATCCTGTTTGACAAGAATACGGTAAGCAGACACCTTTTTATATGTAAAGTCTGTATAATTGGATACTAGCTAAATTTTGGTCTGTTTTGAGGTCTACCAAATGTCATATATCTATAGATCAGATTAGACTAAAAATAGGTCCGTTACCTGATGGGGTAGAGGCCCCTTGAAAAGAAGCCCTTTGAAGTAGTCAGGGCAGAGAAAAAGAGTAATTACAGGGTAGAGGCCCTTTTTTGAGTAATTACCGGGGTAGAGGCCCCTTGAGAAGAGAAAAAGAGTAATTACCGGGTAGAGGCCCGTTTTTGAGTAATTACCGGGGTAGAGGCCCCTTGCTAGCCAGAGAAACCATGGATCCTTAGTGAAACCATGGTGTAAAAATAAAAGCAATTTTTAAAAAGGGAAACGTGTAAAGGAGGCCTTTTGTCACAAAATGTTTTGTAATTAACCAATTCCAGGCTGATAAATGACAAAAGTAAAGAAGCAACAATATTTCAGTGATCACGGTTTAAATTACATACAGAAAAAAGGAGTTTTTGTTTTTTAGTTTGTTTTTGGCGTGAACAGAGTTCACCGGAGAATGCCGAGTTTTATCTACAGTTGAGCTATGAGAGCTTTTGTGAGTTATTAGGCCCGAGCCCCGAATGGGGTAAGGGCCTATTGCTTTCACAATGGTGAAAACAAATGGTGGCGGTGCGTGACCCGTTTGCACATACAAAGTCTGATTTGCATTAAACTTGAATCCATTGTTCAACTCCAGGGTTTAGGTCAGGTGAAAGTGAAATATTTGAAATTGGCCCATTAGCGCCCCCTACAGACTGAGTCAAAGTTTACATGGGGAGCCAAACCAGCTCTAATTATCATATTCATTACAATTTGACTAACAATCTTCTATGGCT